TCCCCTACACCCAGGGGCGGACTGACCCTTTGGAAACTCGGGCACTGCCCAAGGGCCCGGGGTCAGTAGGGGGCCCCATGAGATGCCCCTGGTACCTTTTTCATAGGCTTTTTTGAGTTTGGGCAAGGACACAGGGGCCCCATGATCCCCTATTGCCCGGGGCCCCTTGAGATGTCATTCCACCCCTGCCTACACCCCATACATCCCACATACATACACCCTGTACATGCCATACACCCCCCATACATCCCGTACACCCCATACATCCCCGTACACCCTGTACATCCCGTACACCCCGTATATCCTATATATCCCGTACACCCCGTACATCCCGTACACCCCGTATATCCTATATATCCCGTACACCCCGTACATCCCGTTCAGCCCGTACATCCTATACATCCCATGCACCCTACACCCCATACATCCCGTACATCCCCCTACACCCATGTACACCCTATGCCCCATACATCCCGTACATCCCCAGAGATCCCCTACACCCCATACATCCGGTACACCCCATACATCCTGTACACCCTGTACATCACGTACATTTGTACACCCCATACATGCCATTCCCCATACATCCCCTACACCCCGGATATCCCTGTACATCCCGTACACCCTACACCCCATACATCCCCTACACCCCGGACATCCCGTACACCCCATACACCCTACACCCCATACATCCCCTACACCCCGGACATCCCTGTACATCCCGTACACCATACACCCCCATACATCCCCTACACCCCGTACATCCCCGTACATCCCATACACCCTACACCCCATACATCCCCTACACCCTGTACACCCTGTACATCCAGTACACCCCGTACACCCCATACATCCCATACACCCCGTACATTCCATACACCCCGTACACCCTGTACATCCCGTACACCCGTATATCCCATATATCCCATGCACCCCGTACATCCCGTACACCCCGTATATCCCATATATCCCGTACACCCCGTACATCCCGTTCAGCCCCGTACATCCCGTACATCCCATGCACCCTACACCCCATACATCCCGTACATCCCCTACACTTTGTACACCCTATGCCCCATATATCCCGGTACACCCCAGAGATCCGGTACACCCCCATACATCCGGTACACCCCATACATCCTGTACACCCTGTACATCACGTACATCACGTACACCCCATACATGCCATTCCCCCCATACATCCCCTACACCCCATACCCTGTCATCCCTACACCCCGTACACCCCATACATCCCCTACACCCCGGACATCCCGTACACCCCATGTACACCCATACATCCCCTACACCCCGTACATCCCTGTACATCCCGTACACCCTTTACACCCCATACATATCCCCTACACCCCGTACATCCCTGTACACCCCATACATCCAATACATCCCATACATCCAATACATCCCGTAAATCCCTTTACATCCCCTACACCTCATGTACATCCAGTACATCCCGTACATCCAATACATCCCGTAAATCCCTTTACACCCCATATATCCCCTACACCTCATACATCCAGTACATCCCATACGTCAAGCAGATACTCTGACAGTCTGCAGGAGACCTGCATGGCATCAGGGATCTACTGATCACTGGTACAAGGCTTTCCAGGCTCCTTTGGACAAAAATAATAAATGCATATTATTATACCTGCAAAACAAATGTGCATTTATTATTTTTGTCCAAAAGGTGAACTTATGCTTTAATACAGGAGGCATGAGGACAACTACCTTTGTGATGAAAAAAAAATGATAATTAAAGTGCGAGCAGACGCCTTGTAAACATAACACGGCTGACAACACAATTTCATTGTTACTATTCCTCATCCATGTAACAAGTTTAAATGTGAAACTGCAGCTGTCAGCTATACAGGAAACCACAAATAGGAAACAGGAGAGGAGCGCAGAGACGGGTAGGACGGGTAAATCTCAGCTTTCATTTTCTCCTCACAGTTCAGCTCATTCAGACCTCACACAAGTGAGCTGTACTGGTGTTCAGTGGATATTGTAAGGGTAGAAATAAAGTGAATTATTAGTATAGTGTGTCCCAGTCACAGTCAATAATGGCCTGAACTTGCACTGTAATACTGTGTAATGCTGCATTTGAGTGTAGGGTTGACCAAATCAAGCCCTTGTCCCTCAGATCCTGGGGATCAATAGTCATGCTGCTAAAGCTGAGTGTAGGGTTGACCAAATCAAGCCCTTGTCCCTCAGACCCTGGGGATCAATAGCCATGCTGCTAAAGCTGAGTGTGGGGTTGACCAAATCAAGCCCTTGTCTCTCAGATTCTGGGGATCAATAGCCATGCTGCTAAAGCTGAGTGTAGGGTTGACCAAATCAAGCCCTTGTCCCTTAAATCCTGGGGATCAATAGCCATGCTGCTAAAGCTGAGTGTGGGGTTGACCAAATCAAGCACTTGTCCCTCAGATCCTTGGGATCAATAGCCATGCTGCTAAAGCTGAGTGTAGGGTTGACCAAATCAAGCCCTTGTCCCTCAGATCCTGGGGATCAATAGCCATGCTGCTAAAGCTGAGTGTGGGGTTGACCAAATCAAGCCCTTGTCTCTCAGATCCTGGGGATCAATAGCCATGCTGCTAAAGCTGAGTGTGGGGTTGACCAAATCAAGCCCTTGTCCCTCAGATCCTGGGGATCAATAGCCATGCTGCTAAAGCTGAGTGTGGGGTTGACCAAATCAAGCCCTTGTCCCTCAGATCCTGGGGATCAATAGCCATGCTGCTAAAGCTGAGTGTGGGGTTGACCAAATCAAGCCCTTGTCCCTCAGATCCTGGGGATCAATAGCCATGCTGCTAAAGCTGAGTGTGGGGTTGACCAAATCAAGCCCTTGTCCCTCAGATCCTGGGGATCAATAGCCATGCTGCTAAAGCTGAGTGTAGGGTTGACCAAATCAAGCCCTTGTCCTCAGATCCTGGGGATCAATAGCCATGCTGCTAAAGCTGAGTGTGGGGTTGACCAAATCAAGCCCTTGTCCCTCAGATCCTGGGGATCAATAGCCATGCTGCTAAAGCTGAGTGTGGGGTTTGACCAAATCAAGCCCTTGTCCCTCAGATCCTGGGGATCAATAGCCATGGTGCTAAAGCTGAGTGTGGGGTTGGCCAAATCAAACCCTTGTCTCTCAGATCCTGGGGATCAATAGCCATGGTGCTAAAGCTGAGTGTGGGGTTGGCCAAATCAAGCCCTTGTCCCTCAGATCCTGGGGATCAATAGCCATGCTGCTAAAGCTGAGTGTGGGGTTGACCAAATCAAGCCCTTGTCCCTCAGATCCTGGGGATCAATAGCCATGGTGCTAAAGCTGAGTGTAGGGTTGACCAAATCAAGCCCTTGTCCCTCAGATCCTGGAAATCAATAGCCATGGTGCTAAAGCTGAGTGTAGGGTTGACCAAATCAAGCCCTTGTCCCTCAGATCCTGGGGATCAATAGCCATGGTGCTAGAGCTGAGTGTAGGGTTGACCAAATCAAGCCCTTGTCCCTCAGATCCTGGGGATCAATAGCCATGCTGCTAAAGCTAGCAACTGTGAAGCAGGATGGTGGATTGTTCCTTGGGACAGAAGGTTTGGATAATCAGGAAGGACCCACGAAGAGTCTTTCATGAGTTTGTCCATTTGCCATGTCCTCCTGGGCCAGTATGGTGCAACAAGGACCATCAGAATGCCATCATTCTTGATCCTGTGAAGAAGAGGAGGAAAGGCATAGATGAAGTTGAACTGATTTCACAGAATCACCAGAGCAGCCACTGCAAAAAGCTGAGGTACGTGGACCTGGCCACAAACCTGTTCAGTTCACATACAGCGCCCTTTCAGGAATCAGCAGTGATTGGTTATCAACTGATGTGGTGGTAAACTGTTGTTCTGAATTGCGGTCATGTGTTAAAACCTCTTTTATGTATGAAAATTGTTAGTATGATAGAATAATTGTTTAACTTTTCAAACAGTACCGTGATGTCCCTGATGATGTGATCTGCGAGACGCGCCGGCTAACATCGGGACTTGACATTAATGACAATTTTGTTTGGTTTTATGGAAGCCTCTGTATAATATGTACAATTTTACATTGGTGGTTATGTCATCGTCCACCATCTTTATGCGAATTAATAAAAATTATTGTTTTATCAAATTCTGTTGTGCGTTGATAGGGTGCCTTTAAAGTCCCCTCCATATTGAGGGCTTCTCTCCCTCTCTTCTTTTTTCTGGTCAGTTTGTTGTTGACTCTATGTCTGGTCTTCCCACCTGTGCCAAGGGGCTTGGAACACCTCCAGGTGGAGAACCCCTTCCTTTGGATTCAGATGTTGATGGCTGACAAAGTCCACCTGCCTATTTTCCATGCCTTGGATGGGGAAAACGGATAGGGCCAGAGTGTGCAGTTCCACTGGAGTCATCACTGCTTCTCAACAAGCCACCATTGGAGTGCGAGCACATTGGGCTCATAAAGGAGTCTTTGGGGACAGGGCTCTCTCCAGTGGACCATAGTCCTAGACTTGTATAGCACCCTTTGGCTAACTCAACATGATGCCAAGCTGAGCGACCACACAGCATCCAGTGACCGGAGTTACGTTACAGGTTGGCCCCTTACCTTCTTCTTGGCAGGGTCTGGGTACGGGCAATCAAAGCTCAGCCAAGGACTTAACCAATCCAGAAAGCTGCGGAGAAGGGACTGCAGTAGCTATGGAGCAGTAACAAATCTCGACAGAAGAATCTTGAGAATAGAATACAGAATTTAAAGGCGGTAGGTTTCTTTCAGTAGACAGACAACATTCATCACATAAGGACACTAGCAAAAACACAGACTTGCTGGAAGTGGGAGGGGTTCTGTTCTTGTTTCGGCAATGGATGCAGGTCATGGCTGGTGGAAAGGGCTGTACTCCTCTCCAGAGTCCTCAATCCTGATGCAAGCAGTGGGATGGTTCTTGGGAGGAGTTATGCAAATGTAAAATGCCTATATGGGTGGATGCCAGTCAGAAGGAAGGCGTTCCTAGGCATGAAATTCAATGAATGAAAGGGGTGGGGCAGGGACACCAAAGCTGGGGAAGAATGGGTTAGATGAGATGCTGGACATCCTCCAGCCAGGAAATGATGCGGAGCTCTGTCTGACTTGCTGCAGCTTCTAATGCACATTGTGAAAAGCTCACAGTGTGCAGTGAAGTCAGAGTAGGAATTTTCAGGCCAAGAGAGGAGCCGGTACACCTGTGCAAGACTGAAGGGGAGGGGCTGGTACACCTGTGCAAGACTGAAGGAGAGGAGCCGAAACACCTGTGCAATACTATAGAGGAGGAGCTGGTACGCCTGTGCAAGACTGAAGGGGAGGAGCCGGTACACCTGTGCAAGACTGAAGGGGAGGAGCCGGTACACCTGTGCAAGACTGAAGGGGAGGAGCCGGTACACCTGTGCAAGACTGAAGGGGAGGAGCCGGTACACCTGTGCAAGACTGAAGGGGAGGAGCCAGTACACCTGTAGAAGACTGAAGGGGAGGAGCCAGTACAGCTGTGCAAGACTGGAGGGGAGGAGTTGGTACACCTGTGCAAGACTGGAGGGGAGGAGCCGATACACCTGTGCAAGACTGGAGGGGAGGAGCCGGAACACCTGTGCAAGACTGAAGGGGAGGAGCCGGTACACCTGTGCAAGACTGAAGGGGAGGAGCCGGTACACCTGTGCAAGACTGAAGGGGAGGAGCCGATACACCTGTCAAGACTGAAGGGGAGGAGCCAGTACATGTGGAAGACTGAAGAGGCCGGAGGGAGGATTTAAGTCCTTATGACTGTCAAGTCCCCCATACAGTGCTAGACCGATTTCCGTGGCGGGTACCTCTCTGTGTATGACGAAACACCTGTGCAATACTATAGAGGAGGAGCTGGTATGCCTGTGCAAGACTGGAGGGGAGGAGCCGGTACGCCTGTGCAAGACTGAAGGGGAGGAGCCGGTACGCCTGTGCAAGACTGAAGGGGAGGAGCTGGTATGCCTGTGCAAGACTGGAGGGGAGGAGCCGGTATGCCTGTGCAAGACTGGAGGGGAGGAGCCGGTACGCCTGTGCAAGACTGGAGGGGAGGAGCCGGTACACCTGTGCAAGAATGAAGGGGAGAGCCAGTACACCTGTGGAAGACTGAAGGAGAGGAGTCAGTACACCTGTGCAAGACTAAAGGGGAGGAGCTGATACACCTGTGCAAGGCTGGAGGGAGGAGCCGGTACACCTCACAAGTGACTCCTGTGCAAGACTAAAGGGGAGGAGTCGATACACCTGTGCAAGACTGGAGGGGAGGAGCCGATACACCTGTGCAAGACTGGAGGGGAGGAGCCGGAACACCTGTGCAAGACTGGAGGGGAGGAGCCGATACACCTGTGCAAGACACTGAAGGGGAGGCCTGAGTTAGGATTTAAGTCCTGATGACAAGCCCCCCATACAATGCTAGACTGATTTCCGTGGCGGGTATCTCTCTGTGTATGACGTGGCAGAGGGGCCCACTGGCAACGCTTCCAGGAGATGGGCAGTGGCAGTCTCTATTGGGGGCCCCAGCTGTGCATGTAGCACTCTCTGTGACCGGTCCTCTTAGGGAGCTCCTGTTCTCCATAGCTGTACGCAGAGACCTTTTGCCATCTTCATGTTCTCTTTCGCTTCCTCATTTGAAATGTGTCAATAGAACAAAACTGAGGGCAAAAGTACATCACATGATCCGCCGCCAACTCTTCTCCCATTCGTTCCACTTTCCTGCCTCTTACCTTTTAGCGATGCGAGGCGAAGCATAATCGCACCTTCCTTATCTGTGTCTAAAAAAGTCGATGCAAATCAACTTCGGCACGGAGCGATATTTCATTTGTGTATCAAAAACAATTCCGATTTATTTTAAGTCCTCATTTTTACAGTTCAGTGTTGCTGATATCCTGCAGCCTCTTTGCAGCCACTTCCTGTCTGCATGCACCTCAAGGATGGCTGAATGGCGTTTCTCATGGCGACTTTCCTGCAGGTGTCAATAGTGGACCAAGCCTGTGTAGTGTGTGTCAAAGTGGCCACTTGTGGTCTCCATTAGAAACCTGTGTGACAGGGTGACAACACAGATGTCAAACTGGAAGGCGGGGATAAAGGGCTGTCACCCTATGACAAGAAGCTGGTGAACAAGGACCTTCATGCCAGGATCTCCGGGGATCATGTTAGTGAAACCTGCAGGTACAGAAATATTGAAAAACACTTTTGAAGTGACATTAAAATTTGAATGCATCTATGCAGAGAAGGAAATCGAAGGAGGATTGACTCCAATTCGCAGCATTCGGGATTACATCTACTTTACTGGGTGTGCGAACTACCAACAGGCATATTAGACTCAATGAAAACAGACGTAACCACTCCCAGTCCGTACACTCCTCCCCCTTCCAGTCCGGACACTCCTCCCCTTTCCAGTCCGGACACTTTCCTCCCCCTTCCAGTACGGGACACTTTCCCCCCCTTCCAGTCCGGACACTTTCCCCCCTTCCAGTCCGGACACTTTCACCCCCTTCCAGTCCGGACACTTTCCTCCCCCTTCCAGTCCGGACACTTTCCCCCCCTTCCAGTCCGGACACTTTCACCCCCTTCCAGTCGGACACTTTCCCCCCCCTTCCATTCCGGACACTTTCCCCCCCCCTTCCAGTCCGGACACTTTCCCCCCCTTCCAGTCGGGACACTTTCCCCCCCTTCCAGTCGGGACACTTCCCCCCCCCCGGACACTTTCCAGTCCGGACACTTTCCCCCCCTTCCAGTCCGGACACTTTCCTCCCCCACTTCCCCCCTTCCAGTCGGGACACTTTCCCCCCCTTCCAGTCGGGACACTTTCCCCCCTTCCAGTTCCAGTCCGGACACTTTCCCCCCCCCACTTTCCAGTCGGGACACTTTCCCCCCTTTCTTCCAGTCGGGACACTTTCCCCCCCTTCCAGTCGGGACCCCCTTCCACTTCCCCCCCCCCTCCCCCCTTCCAGTCCACTTTCCCCCCTTCCATTCCGACACTTTCCCCCCCTTCCAGTCCGGACACTTTCCCCCCCAGTCCGGACACCAGTCCGTCCGACACTTTCCCCCCCCAGTTCCTTTCCCCCCTTCCAGTCCGGACACTTTCCCCCCCTTCCAGTCACACTTTCCCCCCCTTCCAGTCCGGACACTTTCCCCCCCTTCCAGTCGGGACACTTTCCCCCCCTTCCAGTCCGGACACTTTCCCCCCTCCTTCCAATCCGGACCCTTTCACCACCTTTCACCCCCCCCTTCCAGTCCGGACACTTTCCCCTCCTTCCAATCCGGACCCTTTCACCACCTTCCTGCCCCCAGGCCAATTTTCAGCTCTCAGCGCTATCACACTTTCAATGACAATTGCGCGGTCATGCAACACTGTACCCAGATTAATTTTTTTCACCCCCTTCCAGCATTTTTTGAGAGAGATAAATCTTTATTTTGGTGGTATTTATTCACCGCTGGGATTTTTATTTTTTTTTACTATATAAACGAAAAAAGTGTTTTTTTTTTTAAATAAAATTTTGCAAATAAATAATCTTTCTTCATGAATCTTGGCCAAAATGTATTCAGTTATCTTTTTAGTAAAAAAAAAAACGAAAAAAGTAACCCAAATTAGTTTATAACCAAAATTTATAATTTTTTTAAAATTATTTTTTACATTTTTTTTATATTATTATTATTATTTTTTTAACATACTGTCACCCTAGCAGTAGTATCACCATGGTGACACTATACTACTTGTGGGGGGTGATGAACATTTTTTTTTTTTTTTACACTGATTGCTTTTACACCCAAAGCAATCATTTCTCCTCTCTGGCTGCATTCCTGCAGCCATTGAGAAATACTGTGAGAGCTGTGATTGGTCACAGCTTGTCACATGGTACAAGGCTGTTGCAAATGGCCCTGTACCATGTGATCTCTGTGATCATTCACAGATTTCACACGTAGTAAGCGATGATGTCAGAAGTGACATCTTGCTTACACCTATTCATGTGATCACTGATTGGCCAATCAGTGATCACATGCTCGGGAGCTCACACAGAGGTCCCGTACAACAATCGGTCCCAGGGAGCGCACACAATCCAAAATGGCGGCGCCGTTTATGAACGGCAACCCGCCCCTGCACTGCCTCTGTTTGGCCATTTATATATAACGGCCGGACGGGAAGTGGTTAAAGCGGTATTAATCCCGAAATCAAACATTTCTTATATCTGAAGGCTGCATTAGTTTTCTTTTTTAGACTTTCTTTCCCTTAGTTTCACCTGGTGACCCTGCCAGTAAATCTGTTGTTTTTCAACAGAACAAGCTGTTCTGCAGATGTAGCAGCTAAAGGGATGAGGGGAGGGGTGGATGCCGCTTAACCGATCCCCAGGAGTCAAACAGAAAGAGGTGTGTGCTCTTATCTGGCCTCAGCTGTCACTTCTGGCCACACCCACTGATGTGTTTTGCCCCGCCCATTGGGGGTGCTTGGCCATAGAGGCTAGCTTCTGTGACCAAGCCCCCGAGGGGCGGGGTGTGAAACGTGTCAGAGGGCGTGGCCGGAGTGACAAAACTGCACCAAAGCATCACAAGGGTTCCAATTAAGTGTGCTGCAGTGCAGAGAACATGCTGATAGGAGGAGAGAGCGGAGTGACTGAAACAGAGAGTCAGAAAGAGAGTCAATCAGTCTGCTTCTTCTCCATTCACTGTCTACTCACAGAGTGGGGGTGGGGAGGAGACCTGTAAGTGAAAGTGAAACTGCACCAAACAATGGAGCCAATCAGCTGTGCCGCAGTGCAAAGGACATGCTGATAGGAGGAGAGAGTAAAAGGACAGAGGAATGAGCTCATTCTGTCTGCTCACAGAGTGGAGGAGGGGAGGAGACCTGTAAGTGAAAGTGAAACTGAACCAAAGCATCACAAGGGATCCAATTAGTTGTGCTGCAGTGCAGAGACCATGCTGATAGGAGAGAGCAGAGTGACAGAAACATGAGCCAATCAGTCTGCTGCTTCTCCATTAACTGTCTACTCACAGAGTGGGGGTGGGGAGGAGACCTGCAAGTGAAAGTGAAAGTGCACCAAACAAAGAAGCCAATCAGCTGTGCCGCAGTGCAAGGGACATGTTGATAGGAGGAGAGAGCAAAATGACAGAGGAATGAGCTCATTCTGTCTGCTCACAAAGTGGGGGTGGGGAGGAGGCCTGTAAGTGAAAGTGAAACTGCACCAAACAAAGGAGCCAATCATCTGTGCAAGGGACATGCTGATAGGAGGAGAGAGCAAAATTACAGAGGAATGAGCTCATTCTGTCTGCTCACAGAGTGGGGGGTGGGGAGGAGACCTGCAAGTGAAAGTGAAACTGCACCAAACAAAGGAGCCAGTCGGCTGTGCCGCAGTGCAAGGGACATGCTGATAGGAGGAGAGAGCAAAATGACAGAGGAATGAGCTCATTCTGTCTGCTCACAGAGTGGGGGTGGGGAGGAGACCTGCAAGTGAAAGTGAAACTGCACCAAACAAAGGAGCCAGTCAGCTGTGCCGCAGTGCAAGGGACATGCTGATAGGAGGAGAGAGCAAAATGACAGAGAAATGAGCTCATCAATCTGCTGCTTCTCCGTTCACTGTCTGCTCACAGAGTGGGGGTGGGGAGCAGACCTGTTAGTGAAAGTGAAACTGCACCAAACAAAGCATCTTGGAGGATGAACATGGGCCCTGGAAAGTTTCCATGCCAGACTTTTCACCGGGGGGCCCCAAGGCCTGCCGACACAGCTCTACCCGCTGGTACCGTCGCGCGTACAGCTTTCAGGGCTAATTATTGTCTTTGGCGGGGTTTGATTTATTAGTTGCGATGGCGTTCTCCTCCGGCGGTCGGGGGCTCCTGGCGGTGCCTGAGGAGCGATATGGAGTGTGATTAGTAATCTCTCCCAGGCAGGTGACTGAGCTTGATAATGTGCTGAATAATTTAGAGAATAGGCCATTGAACGCGGATGGGGGGAGGAGGGGGGCGCGGGAGGGTAAGCGCTGGAAAGTAAACACAGACTACCTTGTCACTCGGCTTCTTAAGTAAAAGCCAACAAGCCGCGCCGTTCGACAGTGAATCAGGTTTCTCCCAATTAAATTTAACAAGTGCCGCCTTTGAATGTTTCATGAGTGTCTGCGCCGAGTGCGCTCGCGCTCAGAGTTGTCTGCTAGCCCTCTGCCTTTGTTAGCCGCGTCAATAATCTGTGAATGGTCCAGGCGGGGATGCCGATGAGCCGAATTGCCCTTCAAGTTGGGGTGTGGGGGGGGTCGGGTCAGTTGGCGTCCAATGAATGTTGTCCGTCTAAGTTGGGGGTGTGGGGGGGGGGTCAGTTGGTATCCAATGAACGTTGTCCGTCTAAGTTGGGGGTGTGGGGGGGTTAGTTGGCATCCAATGAACGTTGTCCAAAGTTGAACGTTGTCCAATGAACTTGTCCGTCTAAGTTGGGGTGTGGGGGGTGGGGAACGTTGTCCGTCTAAGTTGGGGGGTGGGGGGGTCATTGGTGTCCAATGAACGTTGTCCGTCTAAGTTGGGGGTGTGGGGGGGTCAGTTGGCATCCAATGAACCTTGTCCGTCTAAGTTGGGGTGTGGGGGGGTCAGTTGGCGTCCAATGAACGTTGTCCGTCTAAGTTGGGGTGTGTGGGGGGGTCAGTTGGTGTCCAATGAACGTTGTCCGTCTAAGTTGGGGGTGTGGGGGGGTCAGTTGGCGTCCAATGAACGTTGTCCGTCTAAGTTGGGGGTGTGGGGGGGTCAGTTGGCGTCCAATGAACGTTGTCCGTCTAAGTTGGGGGTGTGGGGGGGGTCAGTTGGCGTCCAATGAACGTTGTCCGTCTAAGTTGGGGTGTGGGGGGGTCAGTTGGCGTCCAATGAACGTTGTCCGTCTCTAAGTTGGGGTGTGTGGGGGGGGTCAGTTGGCGTCCAATGAACGTTGTCCGTCTAAGTGGGGGTGTGGGGGGGTCAATGAACGTTGTCCGTCTAAGTTGGGGGTGTGGGGGGGGTCAGTTGGCAGAACATTGTCCGTCTAAGTTGGGGTGTGGGGGGGGGTCAGTTGGCATCCAATGAACGTTGTCCGTCTAAGTTGGGGGTGTGGGGGGGTCAGTTGGTGTCCAATGAACGTTGTCCGTCTAAGTTGGGGGTGTGGGGGGGTCAGTTGGCGTCCAATGAACGTTGTCCGTCTAAGTTGGGGGTGTGGGGGGGGTCAGTTGGCGTCCAATGAACGTTGTCCGTCTAAGTTGGGGGTGTGGGGGGGTTGGCGTCCAATGAACGTTTGTCCGTCTAAGTTGGGGGTGTGGGGGTCAGGCGTCCAATGAATGTTGTCCGTCTAAGTTGGGGGTGTGGGGGGTTGGGGTGTCAGTTGGCATCCAATTAACGTTGTCTGTCTAAGTTGGAGGTGTGGGGGGGTCAGTTGGCGTCCAATGAACGTTGTCCGTCTAAGTTGGAGGTGTGGGGGGTCAGTTGGCGTCCAATGAACATTGTCCGTCGAAGTTGGAGGTGTGGGGGGGGGGGTCAGTTGGCGTCCAATGAACGTTGTCCGTCTAAGTTGGAGGTGTGGGGGGGTCAGTTGGCGTCCAATGAACGTTGTCCGTCTAAGTTGGGGGTGTGGGGGGTCAGTTGGTGTCCAATGAACGTTGTCCGTCTAAGTTGGGGATGTGGGGGGGGGGGTCAGTCGGCGTCCAATGAATGTTGTCCGTCTAAGTTGGGGGTGTGGGGGGGTCAGTTGGCGTCCAATGAACCTTGTCCGTCTAGTTGGGGGTGTCAGCTGGCATCCAGTGAATGTTGTCCGTCTAAGTTGGGGATGTGGGGGGGTCAGTTGGCGTCCAATGAACGTTGTCCGTCTAAGTTGGAGGTGTGGGGGGGTCAGTTGGCGTCCAATGAACGTTGTCCGTCGAAGTTGGAGGTGTGGGGGGGTCAGTTGGCGTCCAATGAACGTTGTCTGTCAAAGTTGGAGGTGTGGGGGGGTCAGTTGGCGTCCAATGAACGTTGTCCGTCTAAGTTGGGGGTGTGGGGGGGTCAGTTGGCGTCCAATGAACGTTGTCCATCTTCGTCTCAATGAGCCGCCGTCACTCAAAGTGGACCTGTCATCGGATAGATTTTTTCATGCTAACGAGTATCAGTACATCCAGGTATGTCGGGTCGCGGTGCCAAGGCCAGGAAACCAACAGCCGGTAGGTTCCCAATGTAGTCCCAAGGATCGATTCTGCAGGGGGTGAGATGGGTTCGGTCTGAAAGGCTGTGATCCCATCCCTGCTGGTCCAATCAGCTGCGCCAGAGCATTCCCTGCCCCCAGGCAAAGGATTAGGATCACTTGTGATATGTATGGCCGCTGGCCTAGATTGGGCCAATGACACTGAACTAATATGGCCAATAGACCGAAAGGGAGCAAATGGTTCATCGTTGGGGTTC